CGTGTTGTAAACCACAGTCCTGATTTTAAAGCAGGCAGTATTTCTTGTTTCCCTGACTGCCTTTATTTGTGTTTACAGAAGAGTCAGTTCGTGGTTCAGCCCCTGGGAGCCAGTGTTTCTGGATTGACCTCTGAGGCTATAAGTTCTCCCTAGCCAGTATTTAGGTTTTATTTTCTCTATCGCACTTAATACTGGTTTGGGAGAGTCAACTGCCCCAGAGCTGGTTCCTTGATCATTACTCCTGCTCTGATTCCCAGGTTCCGCAAAAACAACTTTCCCCTGCAGTCTCTGTGAATAACCCCAATTGGACGATCGTATGTATTGGGTTAATAATCAAAAGCAAAGATTTAAGGAGAAAAGAAAGAAAAAAAAAGAGCCAGAGTAGGTGCGTGAGCTCGCAACCCTCCACCATCCAGCTCTGTGTGAAATTCTCCCAAAGTCTCTTCGACACGTTCTCTCTCCCCCGACACTAAGCAGCAGGCACACTGGAAAAATACGAGGCTGCCTTTTTGCACCCAGTTCAGCTATGGGCTGATTTTTACAGTTCACTTCTGCCAGCAGCCCTGTGGGGTCCCTTCCAAACTCATGAATCACGCTGGTCCCAACGGCCTCAGACTTTGTGGGGTGCAGATTTCCCCGCACGTTCCTCTCTCAAACCTGAATTACAAACCGCACCTTTATCTAGGTGAAATCTGACTTTTCCAAGAGGAGGAGCAGTGCTAGTCTGAGTCCACTTATTCGCTCTGCTTGAAAACCAGTGTTCCTGGGTTAGTACCTGATCCCTGGATCTGCTCCAACATTTTTAAATGGAAAGAATCAAAAACACCCCACACATCCCTTATTTCATTCTAAGGTACTATCACATTATTACTGTTGTTGCTGTGTGGGTTACTGGGCGACTGCCCCACTAGCATGCCATGTCCATGAGGACTGGGGTTTTGTCTGTTCTGTCTCACACCTGCACCCCCAGTACTTAGAGCAGTGTCAACAGATGGTGAGCAGTAGTTTGGTCTTCTTTGATAAATGAGTAAAGAAGTTACACATGTGATCATGGTTGAAAGGGTTAAATATGGGGTATAATGACCTCACATAACTGGGAATCTGACCTAGACTGAGGAACCAGGGAGAGTTTCCTGAAGAGCGGCATCTAATAGAGCAAGAGCCCAGGCTAAGCTAGAGCTGACGGGGGCAGGAGTAAGAAGTCCAGGCAGAGGGCACAGGAGATGCAAGGCCAGGAGGTGGAAAAGTTGAGGGAAGTAAACCAGTTAAACTGACTCATGTGGGTGATTAAATGAGCTAATAGACCTGAAGTGCCCTTGTACACACAGTGTCTACTAAAAAAATAAATAAAAGGCCAGCTGTTGTCATTATTGCACATCCAGGGTGTGCCCTCCTGGGAACAACAATAACAGAATAAAGGGGTTCTTCCCTCCCAAACTACACAAGCAATTCATGACATCAAGCCTTGATTATAGCTTGACTGTGGTATAAGTGACAGGCGATAAACCACATATATGCAAATACACACTACTTGTCATGGAAAAGTTTCTCATGTGCTTTTGTAGTCCCTCTCTCTGCACCCCACCCCACAGTCATCAGACAATCACTCATCCTGTCTTTCTTGATAGATTATTTTGCATTTTCTAGAAGGCTATATACATGGAATGACATCATATGCTCTTTTTTTGAAATGGCTTCTTTCAGTAAGCATAATGATTTTTATGAGGTGAAATTCTTATAACAAGATATTAATCCTTTTAAAGTGAATATTTCACTGTCATTATAAACAAAATGTTGTTCAGTCACTATGTTACCTAGTACTGAAACATTTTCATCACCGCAAATAAAACTCTGCACCCAAAGAAAGGTTGCTCCAATCTCCCAAGCCCCTATCCCTGGACACCCCCAATCTGAATTCTGTCTCCTTCTCTTTCATGTCCCTGTTTTCTGTACCATCTACCCTGCCAGCCTGTATATCTGGTGCCCCACTTGTCCCAATGTCAGGGCACTAATCTAAGCCTTTAACACCTTATTCTTCCTCTGAACCGCATTTCTCACCAGTCACATCCATCTAGCTCTGGGGGAATGGTACCCCAGTACCAATGCACCAGCTCCAGTGGCTGCTTTCTCAACAGGTAGGTCAACCCCCCTCATGTTCCTCAGCCCAACCTATACCCACACATAGAGAGCATTCCTATATTAAAGCCCTAGGTGCCATTGAACTCATAAAATGCCTCACACCCCCAAACCTCCCAAGCTTTACAATTTCCCATCCTGACTCTGAACAAACTCCATCCCTCCACGACCCCTTCTTATGTTCCCTTCTGCTTACCCACAATCCAGCTTTGACCAAGTCCAAAAATGATCCACCATATACCCCGGATGCCACAATTAGCTGGAAACAAAACCAAACCAGAGAAGAGATTTATTTCCATTTCCCAGGTTCTGCTTTTTGAATTTCTAAGTCAAGACACATCGAGTTTGCAAAGCAACAACAAAAAGAGACAACGAATGCAGACCCTGATGTCTGGCCTGAGCTCTGGGTCATGGAGGGCTGGAAACAGGGTCATCCAGTGTAGGCCTGCAGGTGGCAGACATCACAGGGACGTGCATGTTTACTGGAGTTGTTCTTTTATCACTGAATATTTGTTTAATTCTCTGTGATATTGTTCTTCGAAGGTGCAGTGAAAATGAATATAGAATGAGAATACTTTTGATGGTTAGGTCTCATCGTCTCAGATCTGGTGCAAGGGCCACTCAGAGGCAACCTGGGAATGATCTGGGAAGTCAGGCCATCTCCTGCTGTGAACTCCACATCAGAGGAGAGGAAGAAAAGTGGGAAACATTTATTTGGAGGATTGTAGCCCCATAAGGAAAGAAATGAGAAAATATGAAATTATGGTAAGGATCGACACTGTAAGATGAAAGGTTCAGCTAATTACAGGTAGATGATGTTAAAGTAACACTTGAGCCAGACAAATTTCGGGAGGCAAGAAAGTCGTTATTCAAGACCATGCAGGAGGGCATTGAGACTGACCTCAATACCACTGAAATAAAGGCTGGAGGGATTTTAAAAACAGAAGGAAACATAGGCATCTGTGTTTGCTAATTGGATTGACACAAGAGATAAATAAAACTCATTAAATCCTGACAGGATGGTTTTCATTCTTTTTACATTTAAACCTCGTTGAGAGAGAGAGAGAGAGAGAGAGAGAGAGAGAGAGAGAGAGAGTTGTGAGAGAGAAAATATCAGTTGCCTCCTCTAAATGCCTTGACCGAGGACTGAACATGCAAACTTTAGGTGTTTGGGAGAAAGTGCCAACCAACTTGGCCACGCTGGTCAGGGTAAGTAGGATTTTTTACATCTTGCTTTTAAATGTCTCCACCCAAGTTAAGCTTCTACACTTCTTCAGAGTCTGAGGACAGAAAACAGGAGAATTTCATTTTAACAGAATGGACCCAAACCCTCTATGCAGATATTCTATGAATCATATTACTGGCAAGAAGTTGTGTTTATTAAAAATACACTTCTATTGATTTCAGAGAGATAAAGGAAGAAGGAGAGAGACATAGAAACATCAATGATGAAAGAGAATCATTGATTGTCTGCTTCCTGCACACCCCTTCTGGGAATCAAGCCTGAAAGCCAGCATGTGCCCTGACTGGGAATTGAACCATGACCTCCTGGTTCTTGGGTTGGTGCTCAACCACTGAGCCACTCCAGCTGGGAGGCAAGAAGCTTTTAAGGAGACTTAGGCATATTTCAAAAGGACATAGAAAGAATCTGCAATTACAAATTACAGTTATATTTATTTCTAAAGGAAATTCTCTAAAAAATTAGAGATAAGAATATTAGTGAGGAAGAAAAATTAAAGATTCTGAGGGAATAATGAGGCCTCTTATTCATAACAAAGCTACTTTCTGCACAGTGTAGGCAAACACAACTAAATCCTTTCAGCCAAGTCGCAGTTTGCATTGCCATAAATTCCTGCAATTTATAAAGAAGTGCAAGTTCCCAGCCATTTATAAATAGATGCCAAATAGTTGAGAGACTGAACAGAGATGGCATCTGATCTCCCAGAAGGCTGTGCTTCTGGAGTTTTCCATGTAGACACTACATTTCTCTCTATAGTCACCGTCCCTTTGATCAAACTTCATCTCCAAGGAAGAAGAGTATTCTACATCCTACAACATGGCTGGTTTCTGATTAGTGACCTGAGTGCAGAGGAATGACATTCATGTTCTACTTTGCTCTGATGCAGGTTTTTCTATGAAACTTGAAATGGGAGATTTAACAGCCTCTTGAGATTAGGTGGCCTCACCCTCACACTTCACCTGCAGTCTCTCTAGCTTTGGGTGACGCCCTCCTCTCAAACAGATTATGAGTCTTCAACAGGTCAAAAATAGCTCCATAAAAGGTGAGGTCGTTTATAATTCTGTGGGCATCAGTTTGAACTAGGACATTTGCTAAGCATCTCTTATATTACCAAAGTTTCCAATTCTATTCTATCAACAAAGACTACAGGGTGCTACTGAACTTATGCAATTAAGTCTAATGCCATAAACTTAAGAATACTCCAGCAGGCATTAGTAGCTTTGGGGAAGACAAAGTTCACCGTTGCATCTCACATAGGTGTTCTCTTGTCTATTCCCATCATCATCAGTGTCCAGGCACCCTCCACAGGTCTCCCTGGAAATGTGAGAGAGCTCATGTTCCTGTCAGCTTATGTATTAGTCCTGTGGGTCATTACACAATAACTGCCCCTCCTGTGAAGCACATGGTGTCCCCTCCATTGTGGAGATGGTGCAAATGGAACCAACCAGAGATGGGATCCAATGTGGAATGTTAGATTACATCAACAATATGACAATGCTAGCTCAAATTTGTTAGTATTTATTGATTCAAAGCAAGTCTTCTAAGCAATTTCCACCACCACAAGAAATCTAATAAGTGCATTTTTATTTTTATTTTTTTAGTTTAAGAACATAGGGGAGGGGAGGAGGATCACTAGTACTCAACATCTAACTCTACAGGCGCACTTCTAAAGGAGCTGAAGGGGTTAGAGACTTTACACTGGTAGTTCCCAGCATCGTCTCTCCTGACAGGGTCTATGGTGAGGGTTCTGTGGTCCTGGGATAGCTTCATCCTCTCCGTGAGCTCCAGACTCCTAGCATTGAATAACCAGTAGATGGGGCTCTCATCTGTCTGGCAAGTCATGACCACAGCATCCTCATTCTCTGTGACTGTGGTGTTGCTGGCTAGGAGTTTGGGCACACTCCGTGTCCCTGTGAAGAAATAGAGGGTGAGAATGATTGAGTCTGGGCTTGAGACCGGGGGCTATGCTCCTTCCTCAAAGATATCAACCCTGACTCTGATTGCTCTGAGGGTAATTTGTTTCCACAGTAAATATTAATTAATTCTAAATTTGCCATCACTCCCTAGACCTTATCTACCACTCTGAGCTCAAGACCCCTAAGTAGGAAGGATATGAAACAATGATTGATCTAGGGATCCAAAGACATCTGATAAGGCCACTGGGATTGGAGGAAAAGATGGGGCTATGGCTGCAGATAGACCTCAATTGACTCAGTTCAATTTCTCATGGTCTTTGGGATTCTGCTTAGGAACTGTATCTCCGTATGCCTCACTTTCCCCTCAGTGAAGAAAAATGAATATTTGACTGATGGGCGGACCATGTACTAATCATAAAATATTCACAGTATCTGACATAAATATTTGGAAGGAAAGCTGCTCAAATAAGAGGCATTTGTTATTGATGGACTTCACTAGAGAATCCCCTGGGCTGATCTCTTGTGGATGAGCTGCTGCCAGGAGCATGTTTTCTCCTGCTCCTCCCTTGGGACACTGATCTTTCTCTAGACTCTCCTAAATTCCCCAGAACAGTCAGATAATACTCTGGGGAGCTAGTCCAGTTGTGCTCTCCACACACAGTGTCAGGTGAAGGAGGGTTTAGCCCCAACTGGTGACTAGCTCAAGAGCCTTGTGACTCTAGCACATGGGAAACTGTTGTTCTCACTCAGCCCTTCCCCGGAGGCAAAACCCAACCTGACACAGGCTCCCCAGGGAATTTGAAGTTAGGACATTTTGACAGGGGCCTGAGAGGGGCTGCTCAAGCTAAGCTCCTCTGTGAGGAACTCAGGAAGCCCTTCAGGCCAGGTTCTTACAGAGCCCTGCAGGTTCTATCTCAGGGACATGATCAGGGAAAGGGGCCCAGGGACCTGGACTGAGACTGGTCTCCCTCTGCTTACTCACTCCCATCAAATTGCTCCTTCTCTATCTGGTGAATGTCTGTGGGGCTGAAATCTTGGAAGGGAACTCTGACCTTAGGATGTTTGTCTCCACTGTGTGTGTCCTGCACTAAATTCCCAAACCCAGCTTGGGACATGATGCAGAGGGGGATAGAGGAGAGTCTAGGACTGGCAGTCCTATGTGTGAAGTAGAATTCACCCCACCCAACACCTAGAGGTCAGAGAGAAATCACTCACGGTATACACTGAGCCATCCAAATCCTCTTACTCTTGGTGAATTTGGAAGGACGGCTTCTACAACGTAAATTCCTTCGTCCCGTACAGTGACGTTTCTTATGATCAGGGATCCTTCAAGGTTTATTTCCTCTCGACCACTGTATTCGGGACCTGTTAGAATTTCACTGGTATCCCATGCAAGAGACCCAATGAAATTAAGGACCTTCATCTCTATTCCCCTGTACCAAATAATCCCTGTAACATTGGGAGGCTTATTGCTGAGACGTAGAATCCCATCCTGCCCTTCAAAAGCAACGGTCGAGTCAATAGCAAATTGTGCAGTGGTGGGCATGATCCAGAAGGTTAAGAGGAAGACTAGAAGGGAAGACAAAAATTGATAAGTATTTTGATCTATGTATTGGGATGTAGCGATGAGGCATTTCTCTTCATTTCTCAGCCTTAGTCTTCATGTGAGTTCGTGTGTGCATCACCTTGGTCAAGGTCAGCAACATGGCCACCATGGCTTCAGCACCTCAGAACCTATGCTTCTTGTTTTCAATTCGATTTCCCAGCTGTCTGTGTGGCTGTTCTCCTTACTTCCCTCAGATCACTGTTTACATTAGGTGGCCTTCTGGAGGACCTTCCTTGACCATGACCTCTAAACACCCTCTATCTTCACTCTCTGACCAGTCCTCGCTCTGTGCCCTTTAAGGCACTAGTGGGTACTGTTGTCACAAGTAGATCTCTTCTTGTTTCCTTTCTCCCCATATAATGTGAGCTGCATATGGACTGGGGATTTTGTGATCTCGTGCCCCCAGTGCCTGCAATAGGCTGCAAACACCTGTTGGTGAATGAATGAGTGTCCCCAGGCTTGTCCACGTCTGATGTAGTATTTTCCCATATTTGTAGCTGGTGGTGGGGACAAAGTTTAGCTCCCCTGGTTAAAATGATTCTGGTATCACCTGAAATAAATTGTCATGACTGTGGTCAGTTGTCAAAATTTAATACTCAGTGATCAATAACTTAGCAAATGAACCGCAATTGAGGTTTTCCTACCTCTCACCACTTCCACATGATCAGATATTATTGTTGCTGAGCTCCCTCTCTCATCCTACTCTGCACACCTGTCCTTTCACTCAGGTCCAAAGGGAAGCCCTTCCTTCCCTCACAGAGTTCTGTCCTCCCCAGGCGATCTTGGCCAGTCTCCAACTCGCAACCTCCCTTCCATTCCCTGGGATTGTCCCCTCCTTACCGGCCAAAAGGAACCCCAGCCAGGGGACACGTCCTCTGAGGGCAGAAGCTGCAGGGAACTCCATGGGGACTGCTGCCTGCTCCTTCCCTTTCTCTGAGAGAAGAGCACTAGGTCCAGTAAGGCTCCCAGACACCTCTGTCCAGACTGGTGGGATGTGCTCTCCCTCCTCCCTGTGTGCTGAGCCTCCTGCTGGGACAAGATAACCTCCCTTGTCATGTGGGCCAGGGCGGGGTCAGGGCCCAGGACATTCCCCTCATTTTTTACAACCCTGTTGCCCCTTTGAGTTTACCTTTACTCTGTATTTTTTTTCCTTGGAAACTCCTGAAGCCTCTGACAACACACACACATACAAACACAAACTTACACATGCACAGGCACGTGCCCAGTAAAGCACTTGCCTGGGTCGTCCAGTTCCTGGTCATGTTCCACAGCTCCCTGTCAGTGCACATTTGACTTTTCCCTTCAGAGCAAGAGGTCTGGGGCTGTATGGGTTTACTCAGCGAGATAGACCACCGACTGAGAATTTAAATTTAAGAGCCTTTATTAAGCTGGCAAGCTGACTACACCTATAGCACCCTGCCAAAGTAAAGGCTGAACTGCAGTGCCAACTTCCATGGCCAGCGACTACAGTTACAGCACCCTGCTGGAGCAGAGGCTGAACTGCAATGCTGACTGCAAGAGTTACATTTTATTATTAAATTCTGTGGAGGCCCAGAGAAAAATGTGTCTTTCAAATTCTGGGCCCCCCAATATGGAGGAAACTCTCTTTATTTATACTTTTTCTAGTCCTTTGTCTCCCAAATTTGGAATGAGACTTCTGGGCCTTCTGAGAAAGAAGGCCTATGTGCTGGGAAGGGGCTATGAGACCATATCCCAAGGATTGGCCTGATGTCAATACCTTCTGATCTATGTGTTTTAAGAACAGACAGCATAGCCTGATTCGTCTGGCCAAAGCCCCAGATATGCAGCCCAGCACAGGGCCACCTCAGGAAAATTGTCACAGGGATGCCCCGGCTCTGCATTAGATCTCCTGTGCAACTTTGTAAGGATTGGGATGCACAGTAGACATTTTTGAAAGGCTGCTTCAGCAGCTGTCCAGCTACATGGATGCCAGGATAAGACCCTGTGATGGGAAGGTCTCCACATCTTGTTAAAATGCAGATTCTGACTCGGCAGGTGTGCAGTGGACCAGAGACTCTGCATCTAACAAGCTCTCAGGGGAGGTGGAATATACTGGCCTGTGGAGCTCGCTTGCAACAGCAAGGCTGATGGAGGCACATGGCCTCCTGAGTGGATGACCCTCTCACTCCAGCATTTGCCCTTGCTACATCTTGGTCTTTGGTTCGTCACCACCACACAGAGAGCCCCACAGGCCCCAAACTGGGGATTATTTCTGGTGGTGACACAGAAACACAGATGGGCACTGGGTCTTTTCTGTGTTTTCAAATCCCCTAGGAAGTTGGGATTTCCTCCCAGCAGGAAGGCCACAGAGGTAACTGGAGAGAAGGCATCAAGCTGGGTGATGACTGCGGAGGGGACCCTCTCTCTATCTCAGGTTGTCACCAGCCTGGCCATTGTTTCCAGAGACAAAGACCACATCACCATGGGGAGCAGAAGGACCTGCAGTTGCGAGGTGTGAAGGGTAAGGTGTGAAGCAAGGACTGTGGTGGGAGCTCAGGTGGCTGTGGGCTCCCTGGTCCTTGGGGAATATTTTCAAGGCGACCTTCCTTCTCTTTGTTGGTTGACCCACTCCATGTCCTCCCTGACTGTTGTGGCAGCCTCTGTCCTCTGCCTGGGAAACTTTTTTGAGGTCACCTTGCCTTACCCATGTGTGCTTCCAGTTATGAGTGGGGGAGCACCATAGAGATCCCTGAAAAAGCAGATGCCCCTTGTCCCTGTCAAGGTCAGAAATGTCCAAACCTGTGGAGGATTGTTATGAGTATTTCAACTGAATTGGTGTCATATGACTTAAAGCAAGATCTCAAATCCTGAGAAGAACAGCAGTTTTATAGCTTATTTTATACATTATAATCAAAGGAGAAGATGAAAAAAAGTTGCATGAAATCTATTTGAAAGTGAAGGAAAGCATAGCAGGGAGATCTCTAGAAATAAACAAAAAGCAAAATGGAGAAACACATATTATTTTTACTTTGGAGGGTCAGGACAGTTAACATTTCCAGCAGGTACAGAGGCTGTGCAGGGAACCAGGCAACATGAGCTCTCTGTGGTCTTGTATTCTGGTGCCACAGACTCTGCCTTCAATGGGTCTAGCAAAGAAAATTTCCTGGAGGTATATGATATCAAAGGTATGTTATCCATGATGCATAAGAACAGGGAAAGGGCTCACTTGAGGTAAAGTTTGACATTTGCTAAGGAAGCTGTGGGCCTGGGACATGACTACGTGCTATCACCTGCCCAGTTAGGTATTTGTGATCAGACCACACTGTGCATCACTCATCTTGTCAGGCCTGTCATGTGGCCCCCTGGGCTTATCAGGTTTCTTGCACAGCCCCGTTTTAATTCAGGTTCTGGAAAGAGCAGGTGGGACAGCGCAGGCATGACAGAGGGGCCCCAAAAAATCTATTAGTCAGGGAATGGAAATAGGTCTCCTTCTGCACCTCCTTAAGCAAAGCCCAGTTCAAGTGTGGATTTCCTGTTTTTTGTAGGTGCGTCTTAATATCGCCCCCTGGAAGGCAAAAGGAGACCTGCAGGCAATGTCAGGTACTGCACTAGGAATGCTGACCAGGCTCCAGAATGTCGGAGCTCACTGTGAGCCCTGGACAGAGGAAAGCTCTGACCTCTAGACTAAGAGCCAGCCATCCGGGGTTGGTCCCTGTGTGTCTCATGCCTCCTGACTGCATCCCAGTGAGAGAACTGGCTTTTTCCAGGGTATTATGAGTCCAGTGTCCAGAGAACTGTTTCCTCTGGTTGATGTGCTGTTTCAGGAGGATGTGCTATTCCAGGTTTTCAAAGCCAGGTCCTGGTGATGGCTCTTTTGGTAGAGCGTGCTTGCCTGGATGGTTGATCCCCACAATACCCTGTGTCCCTATCTGTTATCTGCTCTAGGCCTCCCCACAGAGCCCAGCTTCTGGAGCAGCTCCACATGGAGTGTCAACTTGGGGACTCTGTGGGTTCCTCTGTTAGGGGAAGGGAGGCCCCTGTATGACCCTCAGCATCTCTGAGATGGAAACTACCCCAGATCCTGGGTTTTCCTTTCCCATCCTGCTGAGGACGTTCCTCTTGCTCCCAAGGAAACCGTGGGCCGGTGTGATGTCTTTAGGAGCCACAGGCAGCTGTATTCAGACCAAGGACCTTGGGGATGGGGAGTCATTTCCTAAATCCCTTGAAGGGATTCTTTCTGGGATGGAGAATCCAGAATGTCGGCTAGGTCAGGGATCTGTGATTAGAGAAAGAGCACAGGCTGCTTTCCAGGTCCTGAAGAAAGTAGGGGTAGGGAGGGCTGTTATTTCGTGGCAATGAAATCAGAGTCGTCTGACCCCTCACTGTTAGGAGTTTCCTGTCCCCCTTTCCTGACTGTAAGTGGGGTAAAGACCTGACCCTGGGACATCTCCGTGCCCAAAGGGGCTGTGGCCTCCTCTCAGGCTGACAGCAAGGCCTTCGTGTGGATCAGAAACATGATCTGACTGCAAGTGTCACACAGGGTGACAGGCTTCCATTGTGTGGTTTCCCTCAAACATTTATTGAGTGTTTACTGAGCATTTGTGAACTCCACAGAAAACAGAACCTACATGGCCCCTGCAATCATGGAGTTTACCTTATAAGGAGAGACAGGCTCTCAGATAAATCAAAGCACTAAGAATACAATTATAATCTAGAGAAGGGCCATGAGTGGAAAGTTCTGGTTCAGCCAGAGCAAGCATTTGAGTGTCAGCTGATCAGGGGATCCCAGAGAGAACTGATTTAGTGATCTTCTGGCTGAGATGTGAAGCGTGAGTGGCCCTGTGTTCCTTGAAGGACAAGAGGTGTCGAGGAAGAGCTGCATGCAGAGCACTGGCCTTTTGTGAGCAGATGCTTGGCTGGATGTAGGAGCTGAGGGAGTACAGTGTGGGCAGTGGAGAGCGAGAAGGACTGAGTGATGCTATTGAGGTTGGACCC